GGTAGATTGAGCAGCAGCCAGAGAAGGGTATATTTTGTTGTCGTCTCAAATCATATTGTTCAAGAATCAGGCTATCGTGTCTTCGCACCATCAGATACATTTTTCCTGGCCCACCCAAACCTTTGCTAGAGACTAGCAACATCCGAAGATAGGAGAAATCTGATCTGACAGGTTAGATTCACATGACAAATGGCTGCCTATGAGGCTATGAGTTAGGACTGAATGATACAACGGAAAACCTGTACATGAGGCTCTCTCCATACTCGTGATAGGCCCGAGGCTGTAGTCATATCATGTATCTGTTCAATGGTGACGGAGGAACGGCAATTTCCCATTCTCAAACGCATTCGCACCACCTTTCCACTCTCTCTTTCGGTCGACAAAAGTGACGCTGCTAGTCTGTGCTTTTCTGAGCACCTGGGCCAGTGCTTTGCAAGTCGTTAGTAGGCTGCCAAGCTCGTGAGCTTCTGGAATCATGCTATTGAGCATCTTGATCAACTTATAGCGTGGGAGTGGCAATCGATGGTATATCTGACTTGACTGAAGCACACGAGACCTGGAAAACCTCCCTGCATTTGGGAAGAAGAAGGGGCAGGGCATACGCAAGTAGAAGTGGGGTTTGATAGGTGGAACCAGACCGATTTCAAGCACGGATCCGCCTCCTCTCAGGTTTCAAGGAAGCTCATGACAGAAAGCCCCGTCCGCTGTAGTTCTCCTGCGTAATACTCTTGAGAACCACAACACTTTTACCAGAATAAAGCCCACTTACATCTTTCATTTGGGCCTTTGGAACTTATCGTGATATCAGAGGTCGTATCAAGCATATGCGAGTCGCATCTCGACAATTAGTGGCTTAAATGTGTTTCCCTCGGTAAAGAGCCTTCCAGGCTCTGATTGGCTCGATGCTGATGAAGATTTCCTTGGAGTGTCAACGGAAACGATCGACGACAAAATTGAAGTCTCGTTTGTTCTTAGGCTTCCACGAGGTTGCAGAGGCACCGCTGGAGACGAACGAGCAGGACCGAACCAATCGAACGTGCAAGTCGCTGCACCAAGGGTGCTGCCAGAGATGCCGAGGTGTCTTTGGGCAAATTTTGGTCTATTTGTTGCCTGGACACGCTTTTCTATCCAAGCTGAAGTAATACATCCAAAGACCGTTCACTCTGGTAATTACTGCAGCTGCAGGTTAGTCAAGGTGACCAGCTGTGAATTTTGTCCTAGGAATTGCCGGATTCATTACATCCTCTACCTCGAATGTCCTGGGTCATCAAGCATTTGTTAGACATACTGCGCTCTGGGCGACATGTGACATCAGTGTTCGGAAAGATACTCTAAAGGTGGCAGTGATGTCCCTGACAAAGTCACCCAGAGCCATCGTGCTGTGCGACCTCTTTGACTATCTACGACAACCTGTACTGAAACCCCTACCTCTGATCGACGTGCTATGTTCACCTTTGGAGGGATGACCCTAACGCATGTCTCCTCACGAAAACCCGTCACAAAGGATGGCGGAGATGTCTTTACCAGGTTTGGCCATGATAGCGCTTGCTAGACCCGATCGGGCTTCAACCATGTTCACTCGGCAACATGGGTACGCTCTAAAAGCCAAGAAAATCGTTTTGAGTGCAGGAGTGAGGCTGATAACTGGGAGATGGACTCGCAATATAAGTCGCAGTTTCTGACGGAATTGTTTACAAGATTGCGGCGGCTCCCATGAGCAGAAGGAGCTGATCGAATATTCTCGAGCCGAAGCCTTCAATACAGTAACTCAACTGTCTTTTCTTGCGAATCAACTTTCACCTGCCGCTCCTCTACTGACAGGATGACGCTGAAATGACTTTCACGCCTACCAGTCCACATTTCTTGAGCCGAAGCTTGTTATCGTTCGATCCGTGCAGATCGTGGTACACAATTGTCGGGGCTCCTGAATACGCATCGATACCCTGATCCTGCTTGGTGTGTGACGTCAAAACTTATGCGTTTACAAACAACCGCACAGTTGCTTGGTTATTTTCGAATAATGGAGGGGAGGGTTGGAGTCCAAAAACATTAAAGGTGCGACGGAAAGCGTCATGCAAAGGAATTGAATTTGCTGAAAAGTTGCTAATATGTTTTACCATTAGATCTCTTGATTGGAACCAAGTTATGGCCATCGCTTAATCCAATTAGCCAACCAATCGTGGCCTATATTGGAGCAGTATGCTGGGTGAAGACCGAATTAAATCAAACTGAAGGTCTTTTGGAGTAATACCGACAGCAGTGCATAAATCTGTCCCGAAACTCAATGTATGTCAATCAGCAAAGAAGGTGGCTCAATTGCATCCGCAAAGCTATCTCTTCTACATCTTGACCAAAGAGATATTACTATACTGAAAATACTGAATAACACTGCATGTTTGCAATCTTGATCCCCCCCCCCCCCCCCCGGGTGGTATGATAAAGCCTCTCTGCCCACTCTATGAGATAATGAGATGCTAGATACACTGTAGATGTTTCTTGCCTATCTCTTCCCGCATTATCATCCCGGTAATTCACTTGATGAAAAGGGGTGCGTTGGAACCTCAGAGATACTTCGCGCCTCATGCTTTCCGTCCATTTCAAATATTTTCCGGGTAGCACGGTTTCCATCTAACTCTATCTTTATTGGACCAACACTTGGTGGACTAGGCGGTCTTTCGGAAATTGTTTTCTTCTTTTTCTTGGTCCAATAGAGGACAAACAAGCTCGACATGCCGACAATCGCGGCGGCAGAGCAACCTAGCCCAATTCCCACTTTCGCGCCGGTGCTTAGACCATTATCGTTATTCTCCCGGATTTCGGGGACTTCAGTTGTAGCCGCAGCCGCCTCCGAGCCCGAAGGGCTGTTTGTTCCTTGTACTAGAGAGCTCGTTCCCGTGGCGGACTCTGCAGCAGGTGGGATCAGAATACTAGGGCTTGGTGTCGACCCAACAAGATAACTAGCGGAACTCGACGTATCGCTGGCATTTTTTGGACGTTCAGACATGGTAATATGAAAGCTCCCACTTTGATATGCATTATTGCCGTGGATGAATCGAAGCAAGTAGTGATCGGCCAGACCAAAACTGGTTTGGATATTGAATGTACCCAGGGTGATATTAAGCTCATCCGTAATGTAGTCCGGGGCTTCTTCCAGGTGTGAAGCCGCAATAAATTGAATCAAGAGAGGGAGCATTATCGAGTCGGAAGAGTTATAAGACCAGGCGGTGGGAAGGCCGTTGTAAACATTCACAAGATCACCTTGTTGCGGGTAGGTGATTCGGAATGCTGGTGAAAAGCTCAAATTAGGACTCCGTGTGGGAAGCGATCTTGCAATGGACGAATACGCTTACCATTGCTTCGAAGTACATTGAGGGCGAGCACAAAGAGCAACATTGATTTCAACATGAGTAGGATGATGATGATGACGAAATCTGGGTAGAAATTCGAGAGGGCAAATTCTTTGATCCCGCTGACGAGGCACTATTTAAATACTGACAGCAAAACGGGCTTTCTATGGTGACCGCACGATAAGGCAAGCCAATGACGCGCCAATGCAAGCAAAGAAAGCGCTAATGCAAGGGAAAGCGCGGAGAGTCTGTCGATGGCCAATCACAATATCCTGGCGTGCTCTTGTTCGGAGGATTGTCTCGAATTGCAATAGCGTTGACAGGGGTCGGGCCGTCCAGGTACCCTGCCTCCATCTCCGTATGGAGCCCTGGATATTGGGTCAATTTACTGGTAAGACGAGGGAGGGTCTTTCTTGGTTCTAGTGAAACGCCGAGATAACCGTACCGTATGTTAGGGCCAAAAGATGAGGACTGGCGAAGCTCTAACCGACCCATGCATTTTTCCACAGAAATTACAGGTCTCCTTGTCAATTGAATTCACTTATAAACCACTGCATAATAACCTTCAACAGTCGACCTCGGATTGAAAATGAATATGGTATGAGACTAGAATACCGTCAAGAAAAGGAGCCAGGGCAGGGAAATTGTGATAGGCATACAGTAGTGGGATTAGGACAGGCGTAAGAATCTGTGTGTAAGTGGTGTAATGACTTCGAGAGTACAATGTTGTTGTTCAGTGGTATGAATTAACTTGTCATTTCAGAGGGATACATGAGCCTATATATACAACAATTAGCCAAGTTGATTTCCAATCAACTTGGTCGTCTGTATGGACACGTCGGAGCTCATTTCGACGGTGTGCTTGGTTCCTGATCTGCACCAGCCTCGTATCAAAACATTCCCCCTCAGGATCGCTTTGCTGGCAAGGCGATCCTGGATTAACGCTGTTCAGGCAAGCCTCGGTAAAACCACTCAAACCCTTCGTGGGAAAATGATGTGGAAAGAGCGCCTGCGCTGTCACGTTTGTTGCCTCCGAGAGGTCGTCGACGTAGACGCGGATCACGCAATTGGATTTATAGAACGCACAAATGTCCGGTCGTGCCATGGTGAAGCCATGGGCGGCCAGGACGCGGTGGACGCCTTGATACCCAATTCGGGGCCCTGCTTGAGTCCATACAAGGAACGACGAAGCCGGCAAACATATCCTGGCTCGTCAGATCTCCAAGTATCAACGCCTACTGGGTTGATCTTTCCTTTCTGATTGAATCAAGTACGTGTGAAGTCTCACCATCACCCTCTACACGCTTCTTCAAAAGCTGGCCTCGTTCTTGTGTTTAAATAAGCCGAGTTCTCTTGCCTTATGTAGGCGCCCCTTATACACGCCTATATATCCAAACTGTCTGAATCGGTTGTGAATCTCCGGAAGATGGATTACTGAAATACGTATGCATACGGGTCTGAGATGGGTAGCTTGATTCTGCAAGTACTGGCATTTGAGAATGCTAGCGCCGGTTGTACCCGGTGTATCAAGCTCCCTGCGCGTTGACAGTTGTAGATCTACCATGCACTCCCTGCCACGGCTAAAGATCATTGCCCAATGAGCCGCTGCGGAGAGCGGGATGAATGAACATCGGGGATCGAACTCAGGCGCTATCAGGCGGTATCCGTGGGCAGAGTTTCCACCGCCCACAGCGCGCCCACCACCGCCGACATCGAAACCGGCCCTGGTCTCCCGCCCAGTTGAGCCCAGGAGACTGTTGGACCGGCCTCGGAGGGTGCTCGCGTGGGGGAATCATCGCCCACGACAACGCTCGTGTCCCACGTCGTCACCCTCGTCGAGCGCGTCCGCCCACTGTCCAGAAACGTCGCTCAATCTGGACGTGTCCTCCAAGTGACCGCCAACGCGTCCGCCATGGTATAAATCATACCCACCATCCGCTCCACGCTCGATCGAATTTTCCCCTCCCTCCTCCCTCCTCCCGCCAAGTAGCACCATGGCCTTCGGCGAGATCTGCGAGAGCATCCGCGCCCTGGCGGCCATGCTCAACAAGCAAGACGACATGGAAAAGCTGATGGACGACGACGAGGTACGCGTGCTTGTCCCGGGACACGCTGAAACGCTTTCGCGAAGCGGTGGCTCGCAGATGCTGACCGGGCCGAACAGTTCGCGACCGAGCTGGACGAGCTCTATCGCCTGTGCAACGACTGGCACCCCGGCCCTCCGCGGCAATCCCCGACCCGCCGACGCAAGAGCAAGAACCGGCTGGTCAACAAGCTGTGCGACGATTGGAGCCCCGGGGACTTCAGCCCCGAGGTGGAGGCGGTCATCTGGAACTGGGCCGCCGACCCCGACTCCTTCTTCCACCCGGTCGCAGAGACCGCGCCCACGCGCCCCACGTGTTCCATGTTGGACTCGGTCGTCCGGCTGTTGAACCGTCTCGACACCGAGATCACGGTCAACCACGTCCGCTCGCGGCTGCTCCTGTGCTTCCTCGTGGAATTCGTCGACGAGCAGATCGCGGGCGTCAGCGACACGGCGGAGATCTGTCGCCTTCTGGTGCAGGCGAAGCTGGTCTCGCCCGGGGTCGAGCCGACGCTGGCCGCCAGTCTCCCCAAGTGGCTGGGCGCCGGGCGCCGGTACATGAGCCTGGCGGACGAGCTCGGGGGCTGGGGGGCGCTGCTCCTCCTCCCCAACTTCGCCCCGACCACGTATGAGCATCACTACCACCCGGTGGGCCGACGGTACCGGTCCCTGATCATCCAGCGCCTGCGGCGGAAGGTGCCGGCGGCGGCCCGGGAGAAGCGCTCGGGGGGGCCCAACGCGTACGAAGTGGCCGATGCCCTCCGTCAACACTGGCGGAAAGAACGCCCCCTGAGCTTCCTGAGCTGTGACCCGTCTCGACGCCGCGACCGGCCGGCCGGCCAGTCGACCCAGCGCCGGCGGCCGGGCCCCGGCAACGCGCGTCGCGGAAGCACGGTGGACCGACGCGGGCGCGGGGCCCCTCAGTCTCCCCAAACGCCGTCCGTGGTCAGCGGGTCGGTGGGGGAAGAGGTGCCCTCTTGGCAAGTTCCCTTGCCCACGGCCCAATCGCCGTGGGACGGTGGCGATCCGGAGCCAGACGACACGTCTACGACCCAGCTCTCTTTCCTCGCCCACGCCGATGACTGTCGGTTGATCTTCCCGGGCTCTTCGGCCCCTCTGGTCGTTTAGGTGGATTGGTGGTCGGTACATGCTCTATGCTCGAACCACTGTTAGATCTATCCCAGTCATCGCCTTCCATTACCTCGTTTGTGTAAGATCTAGAAAATATATAATCTCTCTATTTCAAATAATAGTCAATCTTTTCATTTTAAGTACTAGGCTATAGAGATCTAGTATAGTCTAGATGCTAGTGTTAATTATCTTTTAACTTAGGTTTATTATTTTATATACAATAAGGAGTTACCATAAAAGAAGAACTGTACTTTATATGTCCTTTTAAATGCTACTACACTTGATGAAGAATAGAAGGTTTCTGTGGGAAATCACCTTTAAACATGCCTTAGATTCCTAGGGAAATAACTCCTATCATCCTTTATTTGTTTTATCTATTCATGTATTTATGTCCGAAGGTGTCAACTATGGTGGGAAGCACGTGACCTATCACATGCTTCCACCTCACCTTCTCTCTAGTTCGGTCATCCTTCTTCCCTCTTTCTTCCCTTCTTCTCTCTCTGCCTTCTTCTCTCTCTGCCTTCTTCCTTCTCCAGATTGAGTGTTTTTTGTTAAAGGACCACAGAAAACTTCTTTTTTCTGTGATATGCCAGAACCTGGCAATATTAGCTACTATAGTTCTATTTTATTACTATCCTAATTAAAGAAATTAGTCATCCAGATAGATATAATTCGATGGGAATATGTATAGACAGATAAATAATATCTTTATCTTTTTTGAAAATAATTATAGGGATATTTTATTTTAATTTTTAATTTTATTAATATAATATATGTGATACTAAACTAAATTATTAGACATTAAGAAACTGATCAATAATAAATAGATAATTTATATAACATAAATGAAATATCAAGTTTAATGTAATAAACTTTCTAGATATTTAAATTAATAATATAAAGATTTTTAGCTTTAGATGTATTCAAAAAAAATAGTTATTTTAGTTTTAACGCTGACTGAAAATCTTTATTTATTTATTGAAGATAGCTAGATATAAAGATAAGATTATCATTTGATTTAAACATAAGCGAGATTTCTTAAGAAAGCAATTTTTTCAAGATTCTTTATAATAGGATGTCAAATGAATAGAATAATCATTAAAACTTTTAAAAAGTAAATGTTAGTTGATTATAGCAATAACGAATATATAATAGAGCTTAAAATTAATGAGTGTTATTTAAAAGAAGATTATATCTCCAAAGGCTTAGGATTAATTATCTGGTTATACAAAGGAGACAATATAAAAACAATAGTATTTTGTAATATCTAGATTCTAATCGACTAGATCTGTCACACTAGCAAAGTCACTGAAGAATAATAATACTTGATAGTCTAATGTGACTATTGAATTGTTTTCAATTTATAAAGATAAAATATAAATCTTTTTATAGTTGCTCTTTTCATGATCTAGTAGTATTATAGAAAAAGTGAAATGAGAAATGAAATATCTGTCACGTATTTTCATAATATATATCTAAATTAACTTATAAATGTGATATTGTTATAATAAGATTATGAATATTCTTTTTTATATAGTTATTATATCAAAGTATTAGTCTTTATCAAGGAAACTAATAAAAGCGAGTTAAATATACTACTATAAAAAGTATTGAAGGTAAGATTATAAGATCAATAATAAAAATACATCAACTAGTTTAAATAATAACGGTAATATATTAAACTAAAAATAAAATACAACTAATCGAATATATGATTTTAAACATTATCTAAAAAGTTGAATTAATTATATAGATTGTATTAAATTACTACTATATTAAATCCTTATACAATAAAGTTTAATATATTTATAAAAGTGTATTTTATCTTTTAAAAAATCTAGGAGTTTTATAGATTATATAATATTAGATAGAATAGATAAAGTATTACTATATATTTAAGATAAAAAGTTTTTTAAAACTTTTCTATTTTTACTAATTTCTTTTTTTCTTTTTTCTCTTTCTAGATTTAGCATTCTTAATAGTAGATTATAAGATTTTTTTATATTATTTTTTATATTTTTTTTAAATCTAATATAAAATCTCTTCTTTATTATTTTTTATTAGTTTTAAAACTATGTATATAGTTATTTATTGATATTTTAATAAAGACCAGACTTACTAATTAAAGAATTGAAATAATATAAAGATAAGATATTGTAGTTTAGACAATAAATCAATATGCCTATCTTATATATTTACTCGGTATCTATTTCCATATATTATAGTCATTATAATTATTAATTTATATATATTTTTTAATTAGGTTCATAAGTATGTATACACTGCACAACATAAAATCGTATATTTACAGTTTTATAATCTTTCACCCTTAAAAAAAAGAATTATCACTTTTTATTAATTCAATCATAAACAAGTCTGCTTTGATAAAAGAATAAAAAAATCTCTTAAATCAACTCTAGTTATATTTTAATTTATATTATACAATTAGTTATACTAAAATGATTTATCAATATAAGTTTGCCTGAAATAAATTTATTGATTTATTGATTTAAACAAAAGTCAGAAGCTATTAAAGATTAAGCTTATTTTCAAAAGATAATCCCTATCTTTGAAATAAGAATAAGATTTTTTTTAATAAACTTCTTAATTTATTTTTATTCAATTTAGATAAGAATAGATCGAACAGTAATTTAAAATTATACTAACTTTAAAGCTTTTAGCAAAAAGAAAAAACCAAAAATATAATATTCTTATCTTTAAAAAGTATTTTATTACAACTTAATAATATAAGGTATAACTTATAAACTTAAAAATCCTTTTTTTTTAAGTATACCAAATAAATATATAAAACAAATGTTGTTATTGCTAGTAATAACATATATAAAAAAATTACAAGTAGTACTAATATCTATGAAAAATAATATATTGAACTGTAAATCTAAAATAATGAATAATCTTAAATTTATTGAATAGAGAGATAATTAAAGTCTAATTGAATGATTTTTCCTTTTTGAAGATATTTAGGGATAAGATGAAAAGTAAATCTTTTAATAAATGAAATATCACTAAAACTAGTACAGAATTACATATAGAACATACAAAATACAATTATATAAACCATTAGATTAAAACATATCTTACTACATCAATAATCTAAGAAATAATAATTATTAAAATCAATAATAAGTTAAAAAAACTAAAAAAGTGAAATAAATTCTAATACTCTATCTTATAACTGCCAACTTAAGATTATAGTAAACTATTATTCTTACATAATATTTTTTTTAATCTTAATAGTAAAAGATTTGAAAAAAGTAGACCTCTTAAAATACTTTGATCTAAAACATAAGATCTATATAAAGATTAATATATTGAAGATTAGTATATTTAGTATTATGTCATAACTAGATAATATTAATATATAACATCTAATAGTATTTTAATCATAGAAATTTACTAGATTAAAACTATAATATATAATATTAAATTAAGCTATATTAACTATTATCTACTTTTTAAATATCAGAGGTACTATATAGATAGGTGTGAATATCCTATTTAAGTATTATTAGATTACTTAAACTTTTATAATAAACCTTTAGAAAAACTAATAAAATAAATGAACTTATCAATTTACATTTTTAATACTTTTTAAATTTGTGATTGGGTACAAGTTAAAAAGGACTGACCTTATAAATAGGTTATTAAAGATTTTAAATTCTCAGAAAATTAACTTAGATCTAGAATTAATAGGTACATTTGAAGCATAATTTAGTTTTAAGACCTTTGAAAACATAGCTCAAATTAAAGAAGTAATTTTACTACTCTTCTTAAGCAATCATCTGATATAAAGTAGTCTTTAGTAATATCACTCCTTTTTTCAATATATTGAATACATTCTACTTATTTTGATCAAAGCTCTTTTTTAATACTATATTTTATATTGAATATCTATATAATATCTTATTTTAGTTTATCTTCTACTTCAATGATTATTCATTATATATTATTAGTAATCTATGTAAAAAAGAAATTAATAATAATAAGTTACATTCATCTAATAAATACAAAACAGCTAATATTAAATTAAATATTTTAAAAGAAAGAAATACATATATGAATAGCCGAGTAACTATAGTGATAAAAATAGATTATAAAAAAATAGAAATATCAGTAATAATAAGACCAAAGTAATTATGAAGGTTGGAGAGGGTTTAAAAGATAAAGAAGACTTATTAATATAAAAATGAATAAAAGAAGAGTGGGAAGAATAAAGATATATTGAATTGAATGAGATAATTTTTTTTATTTAGTTGGGAAAGTTCCCTATATTTATGTAAAAATTTTATCCTTCTTTTTGAATATTCTTCTGTGTTCAGAGGTATGAATGTAGTATGAATGTAGCATGAATAAATGTAGTATTCTTCCGTTTTCGGAAATTTTGGATTTTTGGAATCTTTGTAAAATTTTTAAAATTTTGAGATTTTTTACAAAAATTTTATTAACAAAATAATTCCTATTAAGGAAGGTATTAAAATTATTTTATTGAAATAATAATATAATATTATGGTTATATTATTATATTATTGTATTAGGAATAATATATTCCATGATAGGGATTTATAATTGGAGGTTTTGTAAATTTTCATAGCTTTTTTAATTAGAGCTTAATTTTTGATTTTGTAAAAACTATTATTTTTCTATATGTTGTATTATAATTAATTTGTATAATTTTCTTATAATATTTATTGTATTCTTTATTATATTTCATAGTGGTTTATATTGAATAAATTCATTTAGTAATATTAGAAATATTGGAAATATTATCATAGTAATAAATGAATATAATATAAATATAAATATAAATACCTAGAAAGTTGAAAAGCTAATTTTCTAAATAGATCAAAGAAAAATTATTATAGCCATTAAAAGTGTTTTTATAATAATCTTCTAATTAAGTTCAATTTTATTAATAAACTTTAGTTTATAACTAGCTTTTATTTCATAAGATTATAAAGTAACAAAGTCTTATTTAGAAATCTTTTTACATAATTATT